TAGACCATTAGATAAATCATGTTATCTAAATAATCGATAACGAATTTGCAGATAAAATTTATCAGTCATTTTCTAATTTATCTTTATAGTAGTATGAATTATCAATCATAGTTGGTTTCCATATGTCTTCACAATGTTTCTTTGTTATTATCTTATACTTAGCACTTCACAATTTCTTTAGTAATGTGGCATATAGAATATCTTGGAGAACATCTTGTTTGCTTGTTGTTTCCATTCTTTTCAATCGATGAATGGAAAAGCTTATCTCTTCATCAATAAGGTGTAGGTTTTCTTCTTCAACTTTGAGTTAAAATTTTGCTAGTCAGAGTTGATGAGACCCGTAGTTTCTTTTAAAATAGTTTTAAGTAATTTTTTGTCATTTATCTTCGTCTGGTAAGCTTATATATATTTTGGTTTTTGTTCATTGTAGAAAAATAGTTGAGATTTNAAGATNCGATTTCTTAAACGTTTGTCTTNCTAATGTATGGTTGAATGTAAGTTTTTTTTTTTAACTACAAACTTTTTAGTAAAATTTTTTTTTTCATATTTAATGGAACATATAAATTTTAAAAATAATCTAAAATTTTTTTTCCTTAACATTCTATTAAGCCAGTTGATTTTTAATAATTTTTATATTATAAAATCCATACAAACATTTTAGGTTTTTTTATATGTGTAATATATAACTTTGGTAAAACAAAATTCATATATAAAATTCATACACACATTTTAGGCTTTTTTATATGTATAATATATAACTTTGGTAAAACAAAATTTATATTATCATTACTACTATAATCATGTGTAGTCTTGTATTCATTAATTTTCATTTTCATTCATTTTGTTTAGTTTTAACGTTTTTTAATCTAATTTAATTTTTTATTGGTTATAAAAAATAATAAATATGATTTAGTGTGTAGTAAATGATTATTTTAAAACTTAAATGTATTAAGAAACATTTTTGCCTATGTGAACACTCTAAATGGAGAGAAAATGGTCTAATTATATAATAGATTTTGGTTATGCTTTTATTAATAAACTAAACTAACATAGAAAAATATGAGTAAAAGACTTATAGCCAATGTTAAAAATTCTAAATTATTTTTTATGCCATTTTGATTTAATTTTTTTGAAAAAAGGCTAAAAACTTTGTGCCACTTGGCCACCTATACATTTCTCCTATGTTGCACCTGCTCCCTCTTGGCAGCGTCTAACACATAGGGTTATGCGCCGGCGTGCTTCCTCGAAATTAGTTCTTTAGTGCTTTAGTCGTTCTCATGTATGAACCACATGTTTTTATTTTATCTCACTTAAGGTGGACGTGCTTTTACCTTTTAATTGAATTCAAACACTTGTGATACAAAAGAACTTGAACTTGACGCTCTGTAAAAAAAATCTCATAACTAATTAACCCGAGTTCTTGATATGAGAACTCGGGCTCTTTGCTCCATTTCCGAGTGAGAATGTTTAGTGCTAGTTACCCTGGGCGCTTTGTTCTAGGTCTAGTTGTGGCTAGATACATTCTCCAGGGTGTTATATAGATTCAAACTCAAACTCCTCTCGGATTTCTATTGAGACACAAGCTTCGCCAAAAATGTTAAGGGTCCCACAACACCGTGTAATATGTGGCATCAGATGATTTACTTCACTAAAAACGATTTATTTTATCTCCAATATATATCTATCTGTCTATGATATTTTTGAAATTCGCTCTTTACACTTCATGACTTAATCATGCAAAACAAAGAAATGTGGATTAATCATTTCAAACAACTATTGGTGTGGTATACATAATTAATAACTTCTTTTTTAATGCTCTTGTTTGAGTTATGTTGCTTCAAATCAGAGTTACAAAGAATAATTTGGGTTAAGAAATGTGATTAAAAAAAAGTGGCAATTGGTAGTAGGCTGTAAAAAAAAGAATTCAAAGCTTTAACTGTTTTTATCGTTTGCTTTTACTTCTGTCTTCCTTTGGTGATTTCAGGTACTATCATTAGAAGCACTTTCTATGCACAATTGACGGTCCCGATTCATCGTACTCTGCTTTGGCAATCCACATCTGTAAAAATTTCAAACACATTACAATATTTGTATCAAAGACAAAATGCTTATATTTAAATGTTAATATTATCAAGGTAAAAGACAAAATGCTTATGTTATGTCTTTTTACCTGCTGAAAAGTGCTAAGTGAAGCCAATATAGAGCCACCGATCCAAACACTGTACTTCCTCTCTGGTGGAGCCACGACCTTAATCTTCATACTACTCGGAGCCAAAGCTGTAATTTCTTTGCTCATTCTATCACCAATCCCACCAAACATTGTGGTTCCACCACTTAGCACAATGTTCCCATACAAATCTTTCCTAATATCAACATCACATTTCATGATTGAGTTATATGTGGTTTCATGGATTCCCGGATTTTCCATTCCGATCATCGACGGCTGAAACAGAACTTCCGGGCATCGGAACCGCTCTGCTCCAATGGTTATGACTTGTCCGTCGGGAAGCTCGAAACTTTTTTCGACGGATGAGCTGGTTTGGGAAGTCTGTAGCTCTTGCTCGTAGTCAAGCGCAATGTAAGAGAGTTTCTCTTTCATGTCTCTAACGATTTCACGCTCAGCAGTTGTGGTGAAAGAGTAGCCACGCTCGGTCAGAATTTTCATGAGATGGTCCGTGAGGTCACGGCCCGCTAGGTCAAGACGAAGGATTGCGTGTGGAAGAGCGTAACCCTCGTAGATTGGAACCGTGTGGCTCACACCATCTCCAGAGTCCAAAACAATTCCTAACCAACAATTTGTAAAATAACCAATTAGGGTGACCATTGAAACCGAGTTGAATAGAGAAATTTTCATTCGAAATTGAACTGTTTCAATGTTTTTAACCAACAAAAACATATGTAGTGCAACTGACCGGATTAAATTCATTGAAAAATAATATTTTAGTTAAATATTATGAGAATTATGTTTTTAACCAAACCGAGATAAAATAAAATGCAACCAAACAAAAGAAAGTGTCTATAACTATATATAGACCAAAAAGGAAAATGGTATTGATTAACATTAATTCTTCACTTGTAGA